ACTTGGATTCGCACCGCATCCATCCTGAAGAGGTCTTGGATCTCCTTGCCGAATGTGGAGTCGGGGTCGACGATGTAGGGCCGCCGGTTGCTGCCAACGAAGCTTTTCTCCACCTGTTTGAACGCGTTGTCCCAGGCAGCAGCGTCCACAGTAGGCCGTGAGAGGGCGTACACCGTAAAGTAGCCGAAACGTTGTGGTTCATGTTGTGCAATCCAACCCTTGATAGAGGTAAGGAGCTGGTCCACGAAGGCATCCGGGTAGACCTTTGGGTCGTAGCCGAGAGGTTGCCTTGGACCGGGGTGCAGTAGAGGAGGTCGGTTGCCGAAAGACGTTTGCCGAAGTCGCGGTTGAGGCCAGGAAAATTTGACATGATTTGTATCGCTTTCTTGATGGGCTGGCCGTCCGCAGTCTCGGCGCCGAAGGCTCCAAAGTGGGCCGTGGTTGTTGTGACACCGGGCAGGTCAAGGAGCGATGCCATCTCGGTCTGGCTCCAAAGTCGGCTGTTCTTAGGATTGTCGAGCAAGAACAGTCTGCCTGCCTCATATTGTGTGCGGCAAAGTGCCGCGGTGAAACTTCTCATGGGTTGGTCCGCGGCTCTGCGAAGGAGGTACTCGTCGGCCTTGTCATTGATGTTCTCACCGAAGACGCGCTGTAGAGGGTCCCCGGGTAGCCGATGATGATAGCCCAAGGTCGCAGTCGGCGAACGAAATTCATTATCATCCGCTGCTGGTCTGGTTGGCTAAGGTCCCAACCGAAGTTCAAGTCGAAGGGCTGGCACGCGTTGAGACCAAACCTTGATGCACGTGCCGATGGTTTTGCCTCGCCGGCGAAGATCTCCAGGATGTCCACGGAAGGCGGTGGTCGTTGTGAGGTCGTAGGCAAAGTCCTGTAAACGTCGAGCTCGGCCTCATAGATCTTGGTGGTCCGCTCGAGGTCCCCAGTCAATCTTCTTCGTCCTCCCAAAGGTAGGTCTGCTCGATCTCCTCGTGGTCCATGGGCTCGGTGTTGTGGATCAGCGCCCAATGGTCGATCTCGTGGTCCTGGGAGCGTCTCGTCCTGGAGGGAGGCGCGAAGCTCGAAGTCGCAGCCGATGTCGCCGAAGGTCGTCGCGTGCTCGTCTTGGCCCGCCCTCAGGGAAGTCGAAGAATGGAGTGGAGCCCGAGCCGGTGCCTCCAGGGTATTGCCCGATGAGGGCAATGGCAGTGCCGATGAGCGTGAAGATGCGACGTAGGGCTTGTGAACCCATTTTTCTTGATCTGTGTCCCACTGCCATCTCTTTCCGCATTGTTTGCAACGGCTGTACCGGCCCGTGGCATTCCCGTACCGCTGTATCTCTGCATGCCGGCATGTTGCTTGGCTGACTTGAAACTGTGGGTCGAGGCGCGGTGGCGTGGCCTCTAAGAGCCACTGACGATCCCATACCCCGAGCCTTGCTGCCCTGACCATGATCATGTACAAATGAATCTTGAAGTTCCGAATCCCGCGCACGATCCGCTTCCATGCTGCAAGTGAGGGCGGTGGCGCAGTGAGCATCCTTCAGTTGAGTCCCGCGATGTGGTGGTTCAAA